CAGACCCAGAAAGACATACACAGTATGTACTCACGTGTAAGGAGATTTTAGCTATATAGTACAGGATAAACATACTGGAATTCACAATTCCAGAGAAAATAAGGGACAAGAGAGACCCAAGGGAGGACGTTTAAGTCTCTATCAGAAGAAAAAAATGGACTAGACAGTGGAAGTAGATGAAAGGAACAAGGTAGGAAAGGGAGCTAGAGAGAAATGAGGTGGTGATCAGACCTGGGGAGAGGGGGGATGGAGGTAGGACAGAGGGCATCTCTTTCACAAGCTGAAGGCCTAAGAGAGGGTAGGCTTCAGGGAGGGTATGGGGTGACTCTAGCTGAGACTCGTAGTAGGGGAATTGTGGAGACTGAAGAGGACACCCCTAACTAGACAGGGCTCCTACTGGAGGGAGGGTAACACCTACCCACCCACAAAAGCTTCAAACATTTACCCTGTCTACAATATGTGCAGGGATAAAGATAGAGCAGAGTTTGAGGGACTGTCCAACCAGTGCCTGGCCAAACTTGAGACCCATCCCAGGGGAGAGAGCCAACCACTGACACTATTAATTATATTCTGCTACGCTTACAGACAGGAGCCTAGCATAGCTGTTCTCTGAGAGGCTCCACCCAGCAGCAGATTGAAACAGATGCTAAGACTCACAGCCAAACATTGTATGAAGTGTAGGGAGGCTTGTGGAAAAGTCTGTGTATGTGGGGGTGGGGGGGGAGGAATAGATGGACCTGGAGGGGACAGAAGCTCCACAAGAAGACCAACAGAGCCAATTAACCAGGGCCCAGAGAGGCTTGCAAAGACTGAAGCGCACAAGGACCATGCGTGGACTGGACCTAGGTCCCCTACACAGATGTAGCCAACGGGCAGCTCGGGCTTCATGTGGGTTTCCTAGTGAGGTGAGCAGGGGCTGTATCCAACATGGACTCTGTTACCTGCTTTTTGATCATGTCCTTCTGGCAGAGCTGCCTCCCCAGACCACAGGGGAAGAGGACTCTCTCAGTCCTGATGAGACTTGATGAGCTGGGGGTGGGTTGGTAGTGGCAAGAGAGAGAGAGAGGGGTATGCGGGAAGGTGAGACCAGGAGGAGAGGAGGGAAAGGACTACAATCAGGATGTAAATTGAATCAATAAATTAATTTAAAAATAGGTACTGACCTCCCACCTGTAGCTACAGAAGGTCATTCTGTTCCTAAAACTTCCACTATAAATTAAAACTACCTAACACCAGTAGAAATCAAGAGCGCCTTTTTTTCTTTATAAAGATTTGCTTTTTATGCAGCGCCTTCAGAGGCCAGAAAAGGAGGTAAGATCCTGGAACTGGATTTACAAGCGTTTGGGAGCCACTCTGTGGGCACCGGGAACCCACCTTGGGTCTCTTAACCACTGAGCCTCCTCTCCAGTCCCAAACACTTGTTTTGAAATGATGTTGGCATTGAACCCAAAGCCTTTCAAATGTCAGACACACACTCTACTGCTGAGCCATGCCTCCAGCCTGTCACTGGTGGTCTAAGCAAGGACTCTATTGTTGAGCCTTGCACCCATCAAGGAGGCTCCTAAACTTGTGGCTCTGTACCACCCTGAACCCTACAGCCCTCCTAACTGGGATGTAGCCAATAAAGTCTCATTTTCCTTTTGTTTTCTGAGACAAAAGCAGAGTATCTCTGCTCTGGCCTGTAATTCTACCCCCTCCTGTGTTAGCCTCTCCTTACTGGGGTTTCAGTTGTGAACTCCAACACTTTACTTTTCTCATTTTCCTTCTCTTTTCTTTCTTCCTCCTTTTACACCCTCTTTCTAATTTTTTTTTTTAAAAATAGACTCTTATGTAACCCAGGCTGGCCTCAAACTCACTTCTTAGCTGAGGATGACCTTTAACTTCTGGCCCTCCTGCCTCTCCTTCCCAAGTTGCTGTGGGAGTTAAGAGACAAAACCTGAGGCTCCTGCAATCTGCTCGCAGTGTTTAAAATGTGTACTTGTACTAATGATTTTGTCAACTTGTTACAAACTAAGGTCATATGGAGAGAGTGTGTGTGTGTGTTGCCCTTGGAGGTCAGAAGAGGGCATCGAGTACCCTGGAACTGATTACACATGCCATGGGCCACCATGTAGACGACAAGGTCTCAGCCCGCCCTGCATCATTGTGCCCACCCTCCGCTATCAGATGACACAGTAAGACCCTACTTGACCCTTGATCTTCAGAGCCCCAGAGCTCTAAGAAATAACTCTGTTCTTTATCTGAGATACAGCCCTAGAAATTCTGTGAGAGCAGCACGAACCAGTCTACAATCCAGGGCAGATCCTCAGAGAGACTCCTGGGTCAGGAAGGACAATCTGACCTAAGACAAGAGGGAAAGGAGGAGAAGCAACTAATTAACACTTCGAGCGTACTAAGAACCTTTTTGTTGCCAGGAAATACTTTGTAAAAAAGAAAAAAATCATTTACAATATTGGTTACAGTAAAAACCCCAATGCATTCAGGGCCCCAGATTCCAACTGCATATGTTTTATTTCACCTTATTAGGCTTATAAGTAAGAATTTTTTAAAAAAGAGCATTGTTTTAGTTCATTAAGTACAAATACTAAAAATCATCCAGGGCAGAGTTGCTATGCTATGCAGACCACCGGCGTTACAGATGTGGGAAGCCTCATGCCTCCAGGAAGCTAAGGGCTCTTACAGGATTACTGAATAATACAAATCAATATGAATGCATAGTTGGATGTTGTAGTGGTTTTACCTTCTGGGCTTACACCCCTAGAATAATGAATGACTCACAATACTCAAAATGTATTTTTAAAAAATCTAGGCCATATAGCTCATCTCATCTCTTACTAGCTCATAACTTAAATCCTATTTATTCCATTCTAATTTCTGCCCTGTGTTTGGTTAAATCTGCTCAGGTATCTGTTCTGCTCCCATCTTTCTGGGTAATTCTCCGGGGCCTGGCACTATCCCAGCATCCTTTCTGCCTACCAGTTGTCCCACCTGCAATTTCCAGCCTCAGCTACAGACCACAAGCTTCTTATTCACAGGCAATGCCTCCATACATACACAAGGTATTCTTCTACAGCTGAGGACTGGCGAGTGCTTTCAAATACGAGTCTTTTTACACAGCCCTTACTACTTGCTCCAGGAATGGCTGGGACCTGAGCATCACACATCTCTGCACAGCAGATACAGAGGGACATTTCCTACGAGGAAGTGAGGCTTCAGTCAACACTGATCCTGCCAACCATGCGCTTTGATTAAAGTCCTTCCTGTGGCCTCTCTATATAGACCTGGATGGATGCTGAGATCTCCCTACCATGTCATATCCTGAGGGTAACAACTTGCAACAGTTGTATGTGGTGACCAGACATTTATAGAACAATTTTCCTCTCATCTGTGATTTCTGACATTTGTAAAGAATTGATCTCCAAGCCAGGCAATGGTGGCACACACTTTAATTCCAGCACTTCAGGAGGCAGAGGGAGGTGAATCTCTGTAAGTTAAAGGCCAGCATGGTCTACAGAGTAAGTTTCAGGAAAGCCAGGTTTACAGAGAGAATCCCTGTCTCAAAAACCAAAAACCAAAACAAACCAGTAACAAAAAACACAATTGAGCTCCAAAACAGAAGCTCATCTGTAGGATAAAATTTTAAAATGGCATTTTCCCCCCTAACTAAGCTGTCTCCGAAATAACTGAGATGGAGACCAGCACAATAAATGACCAGAGTCCTAACCCTCTATCTTAGCTGCGTCCCAGCCACACACTCTGAGTTACTTGAATATAGTCTCACCGTGGCTCGCTCTGCTCTCTGTGCTCATGGAGAGCTGTGTTGGTAACTCCTCCTCCTGCCCGACCTCATGGTGTCCACTGGGCTTTACTGCACCTGCTTTACGGCGCCTTCTTCCTTCTCCCTCTGAGCCCTGGCTCAGATCACAAGCCCAGCCTCCCTATCTCCTCTGCCCAGTCTTTGGCTGTTCAGCTTTTTATTAACCAATAAGAGGTAATTGGGGGGCATTCTTTATACCACATGGATACAGGAGATGTTCAATATTCACAACAATGCCCGTGCCTGGAGTAACTCGATCTCTGGGCACAGAAATTACCATCTGAATACACAGTGCACAAGACCCTTCCCCAACACCCAATAAAAGGGTCTTTTTCCTATAGCAATAAACTGTGTACAAGAAGGAAAATGATGAAACAACTATGAAACCTGTCAGGTCAGAATTGCATTCATAACGTCCAGTCCATTTGCATTTAGCAACTTTGGAATAAGTACTCTACTGTCTACTGTATCTTGGTGAGTTCAGAGTTCTGTACTTGAACCATTTTCTATCATACAGGCAGCAGAAGGGCACGGTCATCCACAGACAGGCTATAGGAGGCTCTCATCCACACTGGGCAGTCTGAGCAGAGGAGACCTCAACGCTCCATAGTGAGATCTCCCCCCATGGGCCAAACCCATTCAAACCACCACAATAACCAAACTGTAATGAATTTTCATCTATGCCATATGGAAGGATGGCATGAGTCCTGAGGATTTAGGAGCCAACAAGGTTTATTGTCTATGCAGAGGTGAAGTTCTGGCTGGAGAAATTTTCATATCTAAGCCAGTCTCAGAGCTGTTCCTTACAGAGGGATCAGAAATATGTGTTCTTGTTGGTCCTCTTGATTTCCTTCATCGTGTCAACAGCCAAAATCTTCAGGTCTCTCCCTGACAAATCTGAGTTTTGTAAGTTTAGACGGAATCCAGTGTGTTTTTTTTCTCCTGTTGAAACATATGTAAACCCTCTCCCCCAGTGTAACACATTTTCTGTCTTCCATTCTGAAGTTAGAACACCCTTAATATAAAAAGGCTGATTTAGTTCAGCAGTTTTTTTTTTTTTAATAATTCACTGTCACTCAACTGCTGGCTTTTGACCATTAGCATTTAAAAACCTTAAAGTTACTAAGGCATCATGTAACCCATTGCTGAGACTTTTTTTTTTTTTTTTTTCATTGCTGAGACTTTTACCCTTGTTGTTGGTTAAGCATCTCTCTTAAAGTACAGCTGGATCTCTACAACGCTTGCACTGCAGGGTTCTGTGTGTGCCTGTGATATGCCTTACACAGGACACTCAAAAAGGCTTCATTTTCAGACATATGCTGGAGCGCTGCCAGTTTTAATCTGTACAGGTATACCCGTAATTGCTATGACTTCCAATAAATGTGTGGTTACAGAATCAACTTTAGAGAACTTAAAGCACTTGCCCATTGAAATCCTGAGTATGTGTCTATGGTATGGTGCACATATTTAATTTTCTGGACTCTGCAAAATCAAACACATCCAATTGCCAAATTTCATTTCTTTGGAGATGTGTTGGGTTACTCCCTCGGGTAATGGAGTTTGGTTATACAAAGAACAAGTAGGACATTTTTTTATACATTCCTTGGCTTGCTTCCACGTGACAGAAAAATCTTTTTAAATTTTTGCTGTTAACATTGTGTTTCTTACTAAATTCTGAAGCTTCCGCACATTTCCTATCAAAAGCTCATCAATTTCATCATTACCTCATGCTAGAGGGCCTGATAAACACGTATGGGACCAGATATATGTATAATGGATGATTTCTATTTCTGATCACTTGCTGTAGTTGAAGAAACTGCAGTTAATTTAAATCATCATGAATAAATTCAGCAGTTTTTATATGCAAAGCAACTCTTTCTACATACTGGAGTCAGTAAGTCTATTAAGAGATTCAGGAAAATCTAGTAAGAATGGCAGACAACTCTGATTTTTGAACTGAAGCATTTAAGTTTTTAATTACTTTTTCTAACTTATAACCAGACATTCCCTACTTATATCAGTATAAAATGTAAGCACTTGAGGAATTGGTGTTCTGTTTACTATATGAGGGAGAATCCAATCGGTCCTTTTTATAAACTCAAGTCACTTGGTTTTAGAATATTTGTTGTTAATTTCTCCCACATAGATCCTACAAGCTCTCTGCCAGTCTTCATTGATTACCTATTATGACATAATCTCAGCACTAGTACGAGGCACTAAGATTTCTGTTGGGTCCGTTCCTGACAACTGATAATTCATTCTTTTATAATTAGACCAGAAACCATGTATACATAAGTCTTTAATTTTTGACATTGTTTGTATGCTAAGGAGACCCATTCTAAAATACTATATTCCCTTTGCAAAATGAGCCAAGTAGGAGAATGAGTTAAGGGCAAAATAACAAAATCCAGTCCCCTGATAAGTCTCTCCAAGCCTCTGGGTTTGGGGAGCTTTTAACAATCAGCAGCATCGGGCCCACCTGACAGCAGAACAAACCCACAGTGTGGACCCTCTGCTGGTAGACGAGATGTGATCTCTGACTGAAGCCCTTACAGCAGGTGCTGCAGATTTAGGGCCTCTCCCTCGTGTGGACCCTCTGGTGCTTGTGGAAGGATGAGGCGTGACTGAAGCCCTTCCCACACTGCTGACACTTGTAGGGTTTCTCTCCTGTGTGGAGCCTCTGGTGCTTGTGGAAGGATGAGGCCTGACTGAAGCCCTTTCCACACTGCTGACACATGAAGGGTTTCTGTCCTGTGTGGACCTTCCGGTGAGCACTAAGTGTAGTGTTCCATCTGAATTCCGCCCCACACTCCTCACACTTGAAAGGCTTCTCCCCAGTGTGAATTTTCTGATGGACTTTAAGAGTGGCCTTCTGGCTAAAGGCTTTCCCACATGTGTCACATTTGTAGGGCTTCTCTCCCGTGTGTATCCTCTGGTGGGCCTGGAGGTGCGAGGCATGCCTGAAGCCTTTCCCACAATCCTCACATTCATAGGGTTTCTCTCCCGTGTGAACACTCAGGTGACTCTGGAGGCTCAAGCTTGCGGTGAAGTGCTTCCCACACACATCACACCTGCATGGTTTTTCTCTGGTGTGAACTCTCTGGTGGGCTTTAAAAGTTGATCTCCAACTGAAGGCCTTCCCACACACACTGCAGCAAAATGGTTTCTCTCCTGTATGGACTGGCCGGTGGCTTCGGAATTGTGAGCCTGAACTGAAACTCTTCCCACACTCTTCACATTTATATGGCTTCTCCCCTATGTGGACCTGCTGATGGCTTTGAAGACTAGAATTTGAGCAGAAGCTCTTCCCACATTCATCACACTTATATGGTTTCTTCTCAGGGTGGGCTCTCTGGTGCCTGTGAAGGTTTGAGCTATAACTGAAGCATTTGCCACAGTCTCCACACTTATAAGGCTTCTCTCCTGTGTGAATTCTCTTGTGGATCTTAAGGTGTGCCCACTGCGTGAAGCCCTTCCCACACACCTCACACTTGTAAGGTTTCTCTCCAGTGTGCACTCGGCAGTGGACATTGAGATCCGAGCTGCGGCTGAAGCCTTTCCCACAGCTGTCACACCGGTAGGGCTTCTCACCCGTGTGCACTCTCTGGTGATTCTGAAGGTTCGCCCTCTTCCTAAAATCCTTGCCACACTCGTGACACCAGTAGCGCTTTCTTCCTGGATGAGCACTTTGTTGAATGGGGACACTGGAGCTAGGCCTGATGTCCTCCTGCGTCCTAGGTTCAGGACACTCCTTTCCCAATAGAACCTGCTGATGGAGTTCTAAACCGGGGCTGTCAATGACGGCTTCTTGGCCCTCGCTGCAATGGTAGGTCTTCCCTTCTGTGTAAACACTGTGCTGGGTGAGGGGTGACTCGGGACAGATGACTTTATTATAGTCACTGCTGCTGTCGGCTTTGTCTCTTTGATGCAGTATATTGTTATCAAGGTGGGAAATGCAACTCAGAAGGTCAACACCTGGAGCTAACCGCTGTGGCTTGTTTTTCACCAGAGTCTGTGGACAGTGATTCTGATGGTTCTGTGTCTGGCTAAGATGTGTTTCCCTCCAAGAACTCTGAGCTCTCCCACACAGAAATTCTTGATTTTCAGTCCTGCTGGTATGGTTGCTTATAAGACCCTCAAGGCAGCCATTGTCCTCGAAACCCTGGGGAGGCTCTTGTACTCCCCAATGGCAGGAGAAGCAGCATTGCTCCAGGAAGTGAGAACCCTTTCCTTGAGTGTTTATTACAGCTTCTGGAGCACTGACCTGTTTGTTGACATCATGGCTCGTCATTTGACAGCCTGAAGGCTGTCCCAGTGAAAAGCACCTTAATCCTGTTGTGTGAAAAGTCTTCATCCTGTTTGGACTTTGGCCTCCTGAAAGAATAGAGAATAGATGGTGATGTCAGCAAGGATGGGGACACCTAAGGTCTACATCTTCATTTCTCTCTGGAAGCATTAGAGACCAGCATCAAAGATGAACACCCAAGAGCTCTCAGGAACAAAGATCTACAACACAGGGAGTGCGCACTCAAGAGCAAGACACATTTGACCATGGTGAGAAATCTGGGGTGAGCCTGAAGGAAAGTCTAAAGGTCAACTTCAGCCTCTGCTAACTATCTGCCTTGCTGTGCTGGTGTGTAGCACATGGATAAAGGCAAAGAAGCATGTTCCAGCATCTGGCATTTCACTGGAGGGATGGTGTGGATGAAGTACACGTGGGTCTGACTCCTCCCTGGGGCTGGAGGAGCAGAGAAAATCAGACCTGCCTGGTCCTAACCTGTCTGCAGGTGACATGAAGAGGAATCTGGTTCCCCTGATTCAAAGCCAAGGTGAGAGAGTGTAACTGGAAGGCACAGGGACTTCTGAAGTCTGAAGAAAGAGACCAGGCGTACAGGGTTTGCATGGAACAGTGAAGACTCAGAAGCCGATGTCCAACTCGAGGAAGCCACTGTGTTTGTGAGCACACACGTGGAAACTATGAGAAGTGAGCTAAAACATTTAGATGGCAAGACTGAAAACATGCCTGTTCATTAGTTAAAAGCTTCTCCAGGAAAAAGTCAAAATTCAAGGGCAGGAGTGAGTGGATTTCCTTCAAACACTGCTTTCCAACCTAAAATTGTCAGGCTCACAAAGGAGCAGGGGGAAGGTCCTCAAAAACAAGGTAGATATCACCTGCCAATCTAAAGCTGGAGATGTCCTGAAGGATTAAGAAAGGTTGCAACACTATCTGACAGGTCTCCCAAGTAAACGAGAAAATGACCTGAGCACAAACTATCAGGATGCTAAACAATGATGGTGACATGAACAACTTCTGAAGCTGAAAACAGAACCAAGATCTAATGGTCCTAAGACACAGCTCAGTGGCTTGCATGACACACTGAGAATGGTTAATTTCAGTGGGAAAAAGAAGTAGGACTAGGCTGTGGGTTGGGAGAAGGATGCTCTTACAAGGAACACAGAAGGCTTTTTGGAGATGGACATTGCTGCAGTGAAAAGGACATTGTTACACCTAAAATGAAAGCAGTGGACTGTAACCAAGACAATGAATGTGAACTTCTGACACTGCCTAAGGACACAGGGCACCATCCTCACCCACTGACAGAAGGTTCCTGAAGTTCTCCAGCATCACGTCATGGTACAGCTTCCTCTGGGCAGCATCCAGCAGCTCCAGCTCCTCCTCACTGAAGACCACGGCCACGTCCCTGAACGTCACAGCCTCCCGTGACAGCAAACACAGGCCACCTCAGTTTCTTACCCAATGCCAGGAGGACCTGAGCAACTGTTTACACAGAGCCTGTTGTCTTAGGTAGGGTTGCTATTGCTGGGAAGAAACACCATGACCAAAAGGCAAGTTGGGAAGGAAAGGGTTTATTTGGATTACAGTGACATATTCCTGTTCATTAAGGAAGGAAGTCAGGGCAGGGCTGGAGCCTGGAGGCAGGGGCTGATGCTGAGGAGACGGAGGGTGCTGCTTTCTAGCTTGCTCAGCCTGCTTTCCAGCCCAGGGTCAGCACCATCCACCGTGGCTGGGCCCTCCCACACTAACCACCAATTGAGAAAATGCCTCTCAGCTGGACCTTATGGAGGCATTTTCTCATCTGAGGCTCCTTCCTCTCTGATGAGTCAAGTTGACACACAACACAAAGCATACAAGATTCACCCTTTTGATGGCTAAGGAGGGGTAGAGGCCAAAACCAAGAAAACACTGGTGCAGGGAGCTGTAGCTGGATCGCTAGGTCCATCGCTGTTAAATGGATGTCAGGGTGAGAGGGCCCCAACCCATGCTGGGAGTATTGTGTTGGCTTTGTGCTGGAAACAGCTGGGAATGCCCGGCTCCTACTGAGCAGTACAGCTCAGATGTGCCTTCATTCCCAAATCCAAAATTTCATGAGGGATGACATCATTTAAAATGTTTTGCATTTTGGAATGTGATTGATTTCAGATTCAGAATATGTTATTAGTATAGTCTATGCAAAAATCCCCAAATCTAGAAAATTTCCAATTTGTGAAATGCTTATGTGTCCAGAAGTATCTGGCAGATGGCGCTTAAATCTGAATCACTCATTATGTCCTTAGTCCTGTCAATCTAACAGGCTCTACTGGCTGCTTTTACATCAACTTGACACAAGCTACAGTTATCTAAAGGGAGGAAACACCAATTAAGAAAAGCTGGAAGATGGTGGAGCAAGGCTTTAATCCCAGTGCTCAAGAGACAGAGCAGGCAAATCTCTGTCAGTTAGAGGCCATTCTGGTGTACTGAAAGAGTTTCAGGACAGCCAGGGCTAGATGGAGAAACCTCATCTCAAAAAAACCAATAAAAGAAGAAAATGCCTCCATAAGATCCAGCTGCAAGGCATCATCATCATCATTATCATCATCATCATCATCATCATCACCATCATCATCATCATCATCATTATTTAGTGATGGTCGGGCAGGGCCCAGCCTGTTGTGGGTGTTGCCATCCTGGGCTGGTGATCCTGGATTCTGTAAGAAAACAGGCTAAGCAAGCCATGATGAGTAAACCAATAAGCAGCATCTGCCTCCAGGTCCCTGCCTGTTTGATTTCTGTCCTAACTTCCTTCAGAGATGAGCAGCAATATGGAAGTACAAGCCAAATAAACTCTTCCCTTCCCAACTCACTTTTTGGTCATGGTGTTTTGTTGCATCAAATGAAACCCTAACTAACGCAGGCCTTGGCAGTACACAGCTTTCATCTCCAGCATTCTGGAGGCAGAGGCAGGAGGGTCTCTGAGTTTGAGGCCAGCCTGGTTTACACAGCATGTATCAGGGTAGACAGTGCTACACTTGGGGGTAGAGGTGGGAGAAAGGAAAAAGAAATCCTAAATAAGACAAAGAGCTTTGGGAACCTTCTGGAACAGACATGAAGCTTATTCCGTATTCTCAGGAACACACCTCAGCCAACAGTATTTACATTCTGTGTCATGGGCGCGAGCATAGGCTCTCCAAACCTTAAGGACCTCAGTTCACACTTCAAGACTCTGGGCTGATAAGCTTGGGTAACTAACTTCTCAGGGCCTCAGTTTCCCCATCTGTGTGATAGTACCTACCTCACGATGTCCCTGAAGGGATTAAATGAAAGCACAGAAAGCAGCTGGGACACTGATATGGATTAAGCGCCAATATATGTCCAACACTTTCATCATTGTCTGTATTATGCCTTTCATGGCCACACTGGAGACCCTGCTTCAGCACGGTGAAGAAGATAGCCCAACTCCCAACTCAGTCCTCTGACATCTACATGCATGCCAAACCCCTCACACGATATAATCCAAATTTTTAAAATAAATAAAATTCACAAACCACATGAGTATGGAGAACTCACATTTATTTGTAAAACAAAATTGGGTGAACTGGAAAATGTCATTTTAAAAATGTAAGTGAACATAACCTTTTTACTAATGACTGTGTATGCCGGGTGTGCAGGGGTGCACAGGCATACTGTGAGGCCAGAAGAGGGCGCTAGATCCCCGTGCTGGAGGTACAGGCAAGCGTAAGCTCTCGGGTGTGCCTGCCAGGGACCAAATCAGCCAGTAGTTCCATACTGAGCTGTCTCTCTACTCCAGGCTCATAATGTATTTATCTTTTTACACGTTCACATGTCCCACACTATCCTCGCCATCCCTCCTCCTACCAAACTTTTCTTTTCAGCAACATCCCATAATCCTTTCCTGTAGTTCACAGAGGTTCTGTTGCACAGTGCTGGCACTTGGGGAAGAGGGGAAGCAAGGCGACTTACCTGTAACTTGGTCATGGCTCTTTCTCTTCTTCTCTTTGAGACAAGGCAGGGCTCTGGCAAGCAAGATGGGGGAGGAAAGGCTTTCATGAGAGCTGTGCTGGGACAGTCAACCACATGGCTTCCTCAGCTTTCCCACCAGCCCCAAGTGCTGGCATTCCAAGTCTGTGCACACAGACCTGGATTTTCTACCTACTTCCTATTTACTGGCAGAGTAAGCCTCCAGGTTACCAAGTCATCCATGCCTCAGCTCACTCACGGCAGATGGTTAGGAAAGCCCATGTTCTCTATTTCCAGCAACTTCCAGGTTGTGGGGTGCTCTGCCCTTCACGAAGCTGCCTGTGGTGATGAGCTTCCCAGGAAAGCAAATTTTAAGGAACTCTGGACTCTCTGATGAACGCTCTGTCTTGACTGATCACCCTCTCAGAAGGGTCTGGTAACTGTGATGTCTACCTTACTGTAATTGCTTCCGTACATAGAGTGACATCCCCACATCTGTATCTTACTCCAAAAGGTTTAAATACTAATAAGCCTTGCTCCTCTGCAAGAGCCTCCACACAGTCTCTTTTCCCGCGTGCATGAAGATAATAACCAATAAACACTCAAACCATCTCTAAGGAAAGGGGAATTTGGCCCTGCTGGATGGCTCAGCGGGGAAGGGTGACTGCGCCCAGCCCGACCGCCTGAGTTCCAGTCTCCGCACAGCACATGGTGCAAGGAGAGACCCGAATCCCACAGGTTGTCTTCTGACCTCCTCCACGCACAAGCTGTGGCACGCTCCCTCGCTAAGGAAGGAAGTAAATAAACAGACTCATGGAAAATCATATTTAAAAGCGCAGCTGCACACCACTGAGGGCTTCAGCGCACCGGCCTCGGTCCTCCAGCTCCTCCGCCGGGCTCCGTGGGAAGCTGGACTCTCCCGGGGGCTCCGGCAGCAGCTGAGACGGTCCAGGGCACCCGGGCAGCGCCGCCCCAGGCAGAGCCCAGCGACAGAGGACCCGGCCCCCGCCGCCCGCTTCTGCCCGGGCCGCGGCCTCGGTCCCCGAGGGGAGACAGCGGGCGCGCGAGCGCTCACGAAGGGCCCGGGACGCCCCGGATCTCACTTTGCGAAAAACACAGCTGGGAGCCTAGCATCGCGGGAGCGGAAGCGACCCCTGGGCCAGACCTACAATTCCCAGAATGCCTCAGCGGAAGCGCCTGGCTTGGTGCCCTTTCGGGACTACCTTACTCAGAACGCCAAGGAATCGATGTGAAGTCAGCAAAGGTCAGATTTGGGGAGCTCGCTCTCCTGGGCTGCTTTTTCGTTTGTTCGTTTCTGAAATGCCATGAAAGACAACTATGGATACTTTGTTGCTGTTTTGGGTTTTTCTGATACAGTTTCGATGTGTAGCCCTGGAACTCTCTCTGTAGAATGGGATGCCCTCAATTTGACATCCACCTGCCTCTGCCTCCCGAGTGTTGATATTAAAGGCGTTTTTCAGTCTATACTTTGTCCGTGGTTTGTGCTGAGTAATTTCTATCGTGCTGTTTGCCAGTTCATGCATCTTCTCTTCCATCGCCAATATGTTATTGAGCACGCTTAATGTTTTGAATATTTTAATGTTTAACTCTGTAATTTCCATCAAAATATACTGACTTCCTATGCAAAGCCACAGAGAGTTATTCTGTTCCTAAATCTCAGGGTTTAAGTTACAATCGAGGAAGAATTTATTTTTACCTTTTAGATTTACTTTTCCTGCAGTGTCTTCAGAGGACAGAAAAGGGGGTTAGATCCCGGAGCTGGACTAAGAGGCGGTTGTGAGCCTCTCAGTGTGGGCACTGGGAACCCGTCCTGGGTCCTCTGCAAGATCATCAGGAGCTCTTAGCCGCTGATCCTCTCTCCAGTCCCAAGAATTTTCTTATTGAGATGATGCTGGCATTGAACCCAGGGCCTTTTAAATTTTACAGACAGACTCTACTGCTGAGGCACACCCCCAGCCCATCACTGGTGGATTCTATAAAAGGACTCTACCATTGAGCCCTTTGCCGTTATCAAGGATGGGTTCCAAAGCTTGTAAGCTTTCATTTCATTTATGAAATTAAGATAAATCCAGTGCCCCAGCCATGATGGTGCATGCCTTTGATGCCAGCAGTGAGGAGGTAGAGGCAGGTGGATCTGTGATTTTCAGTCAGCCTTGTCTACATAGTAAGTTCTAGGACAGAAGGCTGCACAGTGAGACCCGGTTTCAACAAACAGAAAGAAAACAGCCCCAGTGAAATCAGAAATAGACAAACCTCATCCAGAAACGACTCCTGCAGTGAAATGAGCTCTGTACCTCTGACATGGTGCAGACATCTGAAACAGGAAGGGGCTTTGAAAATACATTGGAACTGTTTCTCCAACCAAGGACCATGTATGGAAATAACCTAGAACCCCTGCTCGGATGTAGCCCATGGTAGTTCAGTATCCAGTGTGTTCTCTAGTAAGGGGAACAGGAACTATTTCTGACATGAACTCAATGGCTAGCTCTTCGACACCCCCCCCCCCCGAGGGAGGAGCAGCCTTGCTAGGCCACAGAAGAGGACATTGCAGCCAGTCCTGAAGAGACCTGATAAGCTAGGGTCAGATGGAAGGGGAGGAGGACCTCCCCTATCAGTGGACTTGGAAAGGAGCAGGGAGGAGATGAGGGAGGGATGGTGGGATTGGGAGGGAGTAAGGGATGGGGCTATGGCTGGGATACAAAGTAAATAACCTGTGATTAATATAAAAAATAAAAATTATTAAAAAAAACAAAAAAGAAAATACATTGGAAAATAATAAAGAATAAAATAAAAATGTATTGGCAAAAGATCCTGGGAAGAGCTCTTGAGAGGGAGGCCCCTGCATGAGTCCCCGAAAACTCAGAGCTTCTCCCAACATGTGCCTGAAGATGCTCTCACAGACGGATGCAATGGAGGGAGGGCTCCAGAGAGCGAAGCTGTGCCTCTCTGAGCCCTTTGCCAGAGGACCTGAGGTGGGAAAACTCCTTGTGCAGGCCATGGATTTGGACCTAACAGCTTCCAGGGAGCCCTGTGGGCAGGGAGCAGGAGGCCCTGCCCTGTTGTGCTGTAAGCTAGTGAGCCTGCAGCCATTGTCTCCTTAACTATAGTAGGACCCAATAAAGTCTCATTCTCCTTTTGTTTTCTGAGACAGACCCTACGCCCTCCTGCTTTAGCTTCCCTGTCACTGGAGTTTCAAGTCTAAATGTCCACACTTGGCTTCTCTCTCTCTCTCTCTCTCTCTCTCTCTCTCTCTCTTCCTCCTCTTTTTTTTCTTCCTCCTCCCCCTTTTAAAATCCAATCTTATGCAGCCAAGACTGGCCTCAAACTTGCTTCTTAGCTGAAGATGACCTTCCACTTCTGATCTTCCTGCCTCTCCCTCCCAAGCTGCAATAGGGGTCAGGAGACAAAACCTGAGGCTCCTGAAATCTTCTTGCCATGGTGTCATGAGGGGAGAGAAAACCTCAGTAGAGTATGCTTCCATCTTATCAACCTATAGGCAAGTCTGTGGGACATTTTCTTGATTAAAGACTGATGTGTGAAGTCCTAGTTCCCTGTGGTTGGTACCAGCCCTGGGCATGGATCCTGGGCACTATTAGAAAGTAGGCTAAGGAAGACATGGGAGCAGGCCAGTAAGCAGCATCTCCCCATGGCCTCTGCTTGAGTCCCTGCCTCCAGATTCCTGACCTGACTTCACTCAGGGATGGACTGTGATATGGAAGAGTCACGGAGCTTCATGGAAATGGTGTTTGTCACAGCAACAGGAAGCAAATTAGGTCAGCACTGAGAGCTGTGAGGAGGCACTGAGAGCTGTGAGTCGGCAGGACTTGGAGCAGAGACGGTCAGGAGGGCACTGCTTCATGAGGGAGCACAGGCTGTCACCGTGGGCGGTCCTGCTCCTAAACCTTCAATGTTTGTTCTGAGGTTTATTTATGTGCCTGAATGATTGTATGTAGAGACCCTGAAACTGCCATTACAGATGTTGTGAGCTGCCATGTGGGTGCCAGGATCTCCAGCCCTCCCCCACCATATCATTCTTGCACAACCCCCGTTATGGGATGACACAGGACTTCAGCTCCAGAGCTCTGGAGCTCTAACTAAAACCTCTGATCTTTATCTGAGATACCACATTGGAGAATCTGTGGGAGCAGCACAAGTTGTTGGCAGGGCAGAAACTTACAGAGGACAATCTGACCTTAGACTAGATGGAAAGGAGGAGAAGCAACTAATTAACAATTGAGTTTACTAAGAACCTTTTTGTCATCAGCAAATACTTTGTACAAACATTTGCAGTATTGGTTACAGTAAAAATCCTGTCCCCAAGGAATTCAGAGCATAAAATTCCAATTGCATTGTTCTAATATAAGAATAGCCACACAAACCACTCAGATTTCCGGTCTCAGATATGTATGGTTTATTGGAATACCTATTGCAAGCTGATCAATCAGGGGCACAGCAAGCAATCGGGAACATAACTGTGACATCTACACGTTCTTACAGTAGGTTTAATAGAAAGTACCAAATACGAAAGACATGGAGAGGCCAGGAACACATTTTGGCTTACCTTACAGAGCAATAACACATTTTTGGCTAACTAGATACACCTAACCTTTAAGCTGATTGGTCCTAAGTGAGGTAAGTGAGGCAGGGCTCAGGGTCCTCTGGAGCACATCAAAGGGTAGCCATGTGTGTAGATAAGAAGGAGGCAACCGGAGTGGAGCCAAGTGAACAGATAACAAAGTAGCAGTTATGGCGCTATTGAATCATAAGGCCAGCTATGAATAACCCTTTCCAGGAAGCAGAGTTGAAAAGCTTAAAATTTTGAACTTAATTTCACCTTAGAAACAAAATGGAAGCTGAGTACAAAGATGGATGCGGCCTTGTCTCAAACAGCAGGCTCCAACATTTCCTGCCTTTTGAGTTTGGGCCTAGTGTCAAATTGTTGACGCTGACTCATCCTTTACATCCAGGGAGTTACATTGAGTCTTTAAGACCATAGCCTAATTGTTGAGATTCTCCTGTGGGTGAAGGAGATAAGGGCATTGGAAATGCATGGCCAGCAGGTTAGGGCTAACAGCAGTATACACAGAGGGCCCACTATGGCAGTAATTAGGGATGTTAACCAAGGGGACAATTGAATGATTTTTCAAACCAGTTTATACCTTGCTGTCTTTCTTGATCTTTCTTGATGTCAGGTTTGACTTTAGTCAAAGTTTTTAATTATTCCAGAATGATTAGCATGAAAGCAATATTGTTCTAGGGCCGTGCATAACCCTCCTTTCTTGAGGAACAGTAAGTCTAATGCCCATCAGTTTTTCAAGACCATTTCAGCCAGGGAGTCCATTTGTTATCCCAGGAATGAGGTGGCTGAATATAACTGAGCCAAATCTTTATCGACTTGTTCACCTAGTTGGTGAAGGCTTGTCTGCCTTGTGAGCAGAGCAGTGGTCCCTGTGGCTGCTGAACCTGCCGTGCCACCCCAGCTAACCCTGAGCAGGATAGAGGCCCATGTGAGCTCTGCCTGCTGGTCCTTTACAATAGGTGAGCTGTGTACAATGTGAACAAGTGTACATAGCTTGGGCTTTTGTTTGTTTGTGAAATGGCTCACAGAGAGACAGGGAGAGAGACCTGTGGTGCATGCAAACCATGTGCCTTTACAAGTTTCCAGGTTAGTATTTTTCATCCCCAGGGAATTAGACAACTTTATCACCTTGGTGTTAATAGGGTGTCATATATAATCATGCAAAGGGCATAATGCATAACCAGGGGGAACAGGGTTAGGGGGCCTCATCAGATTCGTGATGAGGGTAGTACATCTGCTGGCAGTACAGAAACCCTCTTGTCCCTTATGCCAAGGATTTTCAGCCTATTAGGAGAGAGAAAATGGATGACATTATTCTCTTC